AGGCTGCCCAGGGAGGTTGTGGAGTCTCCTTCTCTGGAGATATTCAAGACCCGCCTGGACAAGGTCCTGTGCAGCCTGCTGTAGGTGCCCCTACTTTGGCAGGGGGGTTGGACTAGATGATCCCCAGAGGTCCCTTCCAACCCCTACCACTCTGTGATTCCTTGAGAGGGGAAGAGGAATGCAGATGCCAAGCAAAAAAAGAAGAAAAATGTTAGTATTAAAATAGAGCAAAAACTGAGTTCCAGACATGTTCTGGGGGGAAGAATGGCAGACGAAGAAGAAAGCATTGAGGGAGCCACTCACAATATGGGGTTTGTTTGGGAAGATGTGAGCATGCCATACAGTGGCTCTGATGGACAGGATGAGCATAATGAAACGCTCTTTCCTGTTCTCCCTCTGTTCCTCAGAAGCTTAACGAGTGTTTGTGGCACTGAAAGGTCTCGGATGAAACCCATCTCCCCGCTGCCGTGCTGTTTGCGGCAGACAGTACGTTGCGGTGTGCCGTACACCTGCTTTATCTGTTGTAGGTGTTGGTCCCAGCTCCAAGAGCCTGCAGCTGACCGTTACTTCGGTTTAAGAAGACTGTGAAATAAAGTGCTTTCTAAAAAGGAGATCCGCTTTCCTCCTTATAACCAGCCCTTGGTACCTCTAAAATGCTGGCCCAAATATAGGTGAGGCCACACACATCAGCTCAGCGATGGTTGAAGCTGAAGCCAGCTCCATTTCTTTTTGCTTTTGATCTCTTCCCGGAGCTGGTTCATCCCATGGTCGTGTCAGCACAGTGCAGCTATGCTAACGTTTAAGTCTGGGTGCCTTTTTGAACCACCTCTCTAGACCGTTCCAGCTTACCGTGCTTGGATTCACATCACGGGGTGGTTTGAGAACAAGCAAACCGAGTTGATTTGGGGTAAAACAAACGCAGGTAAGGGAGCACATCTAAAGCACTCCAGCCGCTAATGGGTGTTCGTTAATGGATGTTCGGTCTGCGGGATGAGAACACAACCAGCCCACACACCCTTGGGACAGCTGCGGTGTGGATGGCAGGTCCTCGGCACAGCCAGACCACCGGGTAGATCCATGCCTGTTGTAGGTGCTGACGCCGGCTACGTGCCAGCAAAAGTGGGGGAGCAAGGCGACGGAGGAATAAACAGCCAGAGAAGGCAGGGCCACCTCTTTGGGGAGCAATGTCCCTCCTGCCAGATTCGAGACCATGAACTTGCAGTGACAGAGAGAACCGACAAACACTGAAAGGTTGAGGGATGCCCCAGGGGCAAAGGATTGACTGAGGTTGCTCAGCACAACTGGAAATCAAGCCCCAGTCCCGAACTGGACCGATGTCTCTCTACTCATTTAACGTGTCTGGGCCCGTAAAAGGTTCAGACGTAGGTTTGGTCCCACAACCTATAGGCCACCACTGCTGACCTGAAAAGCTGCTCCATGGCTTTCTCTCCTGCGTGGAGCTTGGCACGCAGCGCCCTCCAAGCGTGTTTGTGCTGAAAGCTGTGTGGCAATGCAGGGTTCCTTTCCCAAGCGGGTACCAGAAGCTCTCCAGCTACGGAAGCAGAGAGCTCCCGCGTCTTCCTTCACCCTTTTTTAGCCAGGTTTTCCATGTAGCTCTGTGCCTTGTACGCATTTGTACACAAAGCTTCGTGCAATATTTATGCAAAGCTATTTCAACTATTTCTGTGCTGTTGAGCACTGTGCAATGTAGATGTTGCTTCAAAAATCAATTAGAGCTCTAAAGAAAATCTGCCTTAATGTTAAAATTTATTTATTTTGCCACTTATCATCTGGTAGATTTCAGTCCGATTCCTCCCTCCCAAGTCACCTCTTCCACTCTGCAGAGTATAAGATGCTGCTCGTCTCCTGTACTCCCTGCTGACATTTCTGCGTTCTTCCTTCACAGTGCATCGGTTCCAGGAAGGAAAAGAAACACAAGAACTGCCAAAACAGTCAACTGCCTACACCACGCGGAGAGGAGAATGCGGCTTCGACTGAACCAGACTCACTGTGCGGCTCGGATCAGCAAAGAGGAAGGGGGAAGGGGAATCTGAGGAAGAGGAGCTCAGGTTTTACCCCATAGAGGAAGGAATAATAAGGTGCCAGAGAACCACTTGAAATTAGGAGGCTGGGCAGCGTGGGAGAAAGAGATGTGAGAATGAGCAGCCAGCAAGAAATGTCAAATTATGTGAATAATAGAAGGAAAACAAGACGTAATTGAAGACATTAAGAGTGAGGGAAGGTCCACAGAAGACTATTCAAGAAGTAGGATGCAGCTCAGCAGAGGGTAGGTCATGGAGACAAGGGGAGGAAGAGCCCGGAAAGGCAGGGTTTGAAGGCAGAAGAAAGACCAAAGAGAATGAGCATAAAATTGAGGTGGATTGAGAACTGCCTGAATGGCGGAACTCAGAGGGTTGTCGTCAGCGGCGCTGAGTCTAGTTGGAGGCCGGTAACAAGTGGTGTCCCCCAGGGGTCAGTACTGGGCCCAGCCTTGTTTAACTTCTTCATCAACGACCTGGATGAAGAGTTAGAATGTACCCTCAGCAAGTTTGCTGGTGACACCAAATTGGGAGGTGTGGTAGATACACCAGAAGGCTGTGCTGCCATTCAGCGAGACCTGCATAGGCTGGAAAGTTGGGCAGAGAGGAACCTGATGAGGTTCAACAAGGGCAAATGCAGGGTCCTGCACCTTGGGAGGAACAACCCCATGCACCAGTACAGGCTGGGGGTGACCTGCTGGGGGAGAGCACTGCCAGGGGGCCCAGTGACAGGACAAGGGGCAATGGGCACAAACTGAAGCAGAGGCAGTTCTGTCTGAACACGAGGAAGAATTTCTTCCCTCTGAGGGTGACAGAACCCTGGAACAGGCTGCCCAGGGAGGATGTGGAGTCTCCTTCTCTGGAGATATTCAAGACCCGCCTGGACAAGGTCCTCTGCGACCTGCTGTAGGTGACCCTGCTTCTGCAGGAGGGTTGGACTAGATGACCCACAGAGGTCC